AGTCCTTCATCACTTCTGATAAAATGTCCATTTCCGCTGTTTCCCGTATCTTCTCTATGAAATTTTCTTGTTTCGGTACCGTCGGACTTTTCCAATTTTTGGCATAGAGAATTCTGGCTGCAGTAACTATGTATATAACTATATATTCCTTTGACTTATCTATGTTATCAGGTATCATACTCAATAAAAACAGTTCTGGGGTTAATGGCACCTTACAGAGCAATATTTGTTGCAGCATAGCATGTACTCTTTTCCAATACTGTTTCACTACTCTACATGACCACCACATATGATAATAGCTTCCCACTTGTGCTTCACATTTCCAACACAGATTTGATACATCTGTATACATCTTCAACAGTTTTTCTGGAGTCATATGCCACCTATAAAACATCTTGTATATATTCGCCTTAAAATTAACCAATCTTGTAAGCTTTATATTACTTTGCCATATTTTCAACCATTGATCAATATCAATATTATGCCCTATGTTTTGTGCCCACTTAGTCATACATTCTTTAACCATTTCATCTTGCATTTTAATTTCTAACAGATAGTTATACATTTTCTTAACAATTTTGTCTTTTGAACCTAATAAAAGCTTATCAAACATCGTTTGTTCTGAGTAGAAACCTATTTTGCCTTTTGTATATCTAGATTCCAGCTGTGCTCTGGACCACCAGTCTGTATAGATATTCTGTGACTCTAGCTTTTCTTTAGACCTTAATTCACCATCCTTTTAAAATAAATCTTGGTATCTTAAAAGTTTTGCTTTTGTCGTGAGATTAGATTGTGTAAAGACCTCTACAGGTGACACCCACACAGGTGTTTTGTAATAAATTTGTTCTATAATCTTTCTCCACATTTCCACATTCCATGGCAAATGTGTCAAGCTTCTGTTAAGAAAATGTTGCAAGCTGTTGTCTAAAATTTCTTTGTAGTAATACCACCAAATTAAAAATATAAACAAATCACAGAACGTAGTAGTTACACAGTTTGGAAGGTGAATCCTTTGCTTTTGAAATATCTAGAATGTCATGTGATAATGTATTTTGTGTTATTCACAAACGGTCAAATCATCAGGGTGATAAAGATGAACACTAGCTTTCTTTAGCGTTCATTCTGACATAAATATGACCTACTGAAATGTAAGGGTTACATTTATAATAGCAAAAATGCTGTATCAATTATTTTCAATTTATGATTTAAAATCCAATGATACTGCCAGGTGCAGTATGATGGAACACTTACTTAGTGCTTTAGATCTTCAGAGTAAAAGGAAGGTTCCTGAATAGAAATGGGGGTATTCATATTTGTATACAAATATGAATATCCCTGCACAGGTGGCAATAACAAGGATCCAGCCCATGGGGCTGGACTGTCCACTCACTGATTGCTGCCGTGACCTCCACAATCCTTCCAATGGCTCTGGAGCTTGCAATTGGCTCGCCACTCCTGGGAGGAGACAGGTCAACAAGCCTCCCTGCCAGGTCAAAGAGTGGCTCGCCGAGTGTGAGCTCTGGAGTCATTCGTGGGCTCCACAATCCTTTCAAGGACTCTGGAGCTTGCGATCGGCTTGCCACTCCTGGGAGGAGACGGGTCAACAAGCCTCCCTGCCAGGTCAAAGAGTGGCTCGCCGAGTGTGAGCTCTGGAGTCATTGGAAGGATCGTGGAGCCTGCAGCAGTGGAGGATTGATGAGTGGACAGTCTGGGCCCATGGGGTGAACCATCGTTATCGCTACCTGTGTGGGAATATTTGTATTCGCATACAAATACCCCCATCTCTACTCCTGAACATGCCAGATCATATCTGTTGATTGACAAGAAGATGCCATAAAACTTAGAAAATGCCTACCAAAAGGCCTCTAACAATCCTTTTAAAAAAGTAATTGAAAGTAACTAGAAGTGTTACTTAGTACATGAATAAAGTGCTTGCTTTTGAAGTATAACGATGTATCCATGCCACCCAAAAGTAATTAGTTAGAATTAACAATGCTACACCTAACTACTAGTTAATTTTGCTTTGCCCTTCATTACTGTAACATTAAGCAGGGCTGAAAGAGGAAAAATACCTCATCAAAGAATTACCATGTAATTTGAATGTTGCAGAACTGCTGTTTTACTTGAGTTTCTCCTTCTGGGTTGTTTAGGTAAATATAACAGAGTTCTCCTGTGAGTTGATATGATAACTCAAGTTTCAGATCACAGCAAAATGGTTGATGAGGAAGGTCTGCAGACAGCAGACAACAGCAGAATAGGTGGTGATTAAGATCCACCAAATTACTGTCCTTAAGTTCCCACATTAACCTTCATTGTTACAGGAGGTCTTCATAAAGTTTAAAAAACTTGGTATCTCTCAAGGAGCTGAAAAATATGGTCTTTTGTCAACAAAAGCCATGTGTTTGAAATAAAACTTGTATGTCTTTTGAGTATGTCATCTTTTCAAAGTTGATGGTGGGACTTTGTCCAACTCTTCTTTGCTTTTGCTTACTGGGCTGCTCTTTGGATCTGCCTTTTGGTACTTCTGAGCTGCTAATGACCATGCTGACATTCTGACATGGCATTCCAAGTTTCTGTCTTTTGCCTCAGTCAATCACAGCTCCTGGTGGGGCACAGAGCCTAAGCCACATGCTTTCAACAACATAGTGTTCTGGGCAGCTATGTCATTCTAGCTGCCAAGCCCTAGGGCCTTTTACTATAACATCTTCATTGTTTGATTATGTAAGGACAACATGTGGGTAGAGGTTGTGGTTTCCTTGCCCACCCACCAAATGTCTGACTCATCTACAAAATGTGTGTTTCTGTGTGCGTGTTTTGCTGGTGTTACACCAAGCATGAGAAAAGATTTATCCCTGTTGTAATGACAAATGCCTCCAAATGAAAAAAAATTCACTCGATTATGCTGACCTTGGCATAGTGGCTGTCTAGATTAGTGGGACCGCTGGGTTTTTGTATAACTACATATTAATCATCTTGTTTTGCGTAGATTAAATTGGAATCTAATTAGATTAAACTAGATTAGAAAACAGTGGGGATGTGTATTTGAAATCCATCGTGAACACATTGACTCTTGAAATCAGAATAGAACTAGTTTCTCTTGAAGGAGGTTCTCTTCAGATTTCTATTCATTGCTGGAATTTTTGGCATGACATTTTTATTATCTCTGTTTCATTTCTCCAGCACTTTGTACATACATACATACATACATACATACATACATACATACATACATACATACATACATACATACATACATACATACATACATACATACATACATACATACATACATACATACATACATACACTCATGCACAATAATGTGGATTTTGACTTCTGGTGAGCCTCCTATGGGTTTCTACATATCAAGCTTTCAGAAGTGGCTTACCAGTTCCTCCCGGCAGCATTCAAGGACCGCGCAGCTTGGCCAAGACCTCACAGGTAGCAGGAATGGTAACCCCACCAGCCACACACCACCTTGGGTGATCTTGGCTGGCCCTTCTCCCAGGAGGTGTAGTGGCTCTGCAACCAGATGCTCTGATCCACAAAGCTATATCAGCTCTTCACACATACATATGCATACAGCCTCTTTTTTTAACCACACAGAAGGAAATGGATCTTCATGAGTTTATGGAATTTAATGTAATCCCCTCCAATGCTCTGTATACCAACTTCCAAGTTAAAAAAAAATTCCTTGTGCGTAATCACACTATGAATGGCACCTCCATACAGTATATGTGTATTAGAACCTTTTCCTACAAAATGCACACAACTGACAAATGGGAAAATATCATGTCCTTGATTACACATGTATTGTACCCATGTGTCGCAACTTTCATCTTCAATTCTGTTCCCTTGCCCCATTTCTGTGCCTTTAACAGCAGCTAGTTCTGTAGCCATTGTCAGCTCACAATATTTACATTCTGTCCATCAGAACATGGAGCCACACTTAAAAGCAGAGGAGTAGCACAGCTGGGAAAAGGAAGACCTAGACAGTTACTAACTCTAGAACTTATATGAGTTGGTGCCATTCATCCATTATGCAACATAGACATATTTTGACTTGAACCCATATTTCCCACAAATGGGGATCTACCTGTGAGATGTTCTACTGGAAGGGAAAAAAGATTTGTTATTTATGGATGACTTATTTTCTTTGTTTCCCCTATAGATTTATGCGTACATCTTTGAAAATATCAAATCCATTCAGGTGGAGGCCTTGTTATTGTCAGTGCTGAGCATTGCCATCCTCGTCCTTGTTAAAGAGCTGAATGAAAAATATAAAAGAAAAATTAAAGTAGTTCTTCCCATTGATTTGGTATTGGTAAGTAACTATAACATTAAGGATTGTTTTTGCTCCTAGTGTGTCTGTTCCTTCTTTACTGCAGATCAGATCTGTATGGATTTGCCATTATGATAAAGATGGGAATGGTACAGATAAAGCTAGGTGTACTATTTCCCAGCTAATTTTGACAGTAGCATAGTATTGAATAAATACCACACAAAAGGAAACAGTTCTGAGCTTTCGAAAACTTATTTGTGCTTGTTAACTGTAGCTCATTAGCTGCAGCCGGACACTATTATGATTCTTCAGCTGTGGCATCACTATAGCAAAAAATATGGCCTTGACATGAAAAATTTTCTTCCCAGCCTCCAGTAAGACAACCTGCAAATGCTTAGGGTAACCCTGAAAAGTGAGAGGAAGGGAGGGAGGGACGGTGTGTTGCTGCTGGATGCAGAGTATCAAGGCCTCACACCAGCAGGCTTATGCATTGCTTGTTGAAACTGTGAAACTACTCAGTTCTTCAGTTTTTGCATGGCTAAGTGGAAATCACAACCATCGCAAGAAACAGACACAGGCTATGCTGCTGAGCCATAGGCCTGGCACAAGTACAGGGAGAAGTGCTGGATCTTCATTCAATGCAATCACGAGAAGGGGAGCAATTCCGTCGGACAGTGTAGAGCAGTGTAGACCCCAATCTCGGGGTCCTCAGATGTTCTTGAACAAAAAAAATCTCCCAGAAACCTTTACCATTAGCTGTGCTGGCCAAGATTTCTGGGAGTTTATTTATTTAAAACATTTTAACCCCACCTTTCTCCTTAAAAAGGACCCAAAATGGCTTACATCATTAAAACACAATATTTAAAGCTAAAAATAACATGTATATAATACTTGTCATTGAAGCAACCAACAGGTATTTGACCCAACTCCGGGAGGCAGTGGAAGACAGGAGGGCCTGGCGTGCTCTGGTCCACGGGGTCATGAAGAGTCGGACGTGACTAAACGACTAAACAACAACATACAAATACTAAAAAGGATCAAACAAATACTATTCTGAGAAATGGTGAACTGAAGCAATATTAGAAACACATTCAAAGCAGTAAGGCATAACAATCCATTTAAAAATCCCACCCTGTCAGCCAGTCCCCGGGGGAAGGTTTGCCTGAAATAAAGAAGTTCTTTGCCTGCTTATGGAAGGTCAGCAAAGATGAGGCCAGCCTAGTCTCCTGCGGGAGAAGTACCGGAGAAGGCCTGTGTCCCTGCCAAATGCACCTATGAAGGTGGTGGGACAGAGAAAAATCTCTCCTAATGATCTTATCACCTGAGCAAGCTCGTAACTTGCCTGAGATAGCTTGGACCCAAGCTGTTTAGGGCTTTATAGGTTAGAACCAGCACTTCAAAATTTAGTTCAAGAGCATCTGGGGACCCAAGGTTGGGAACCACTAGGCTATACTGTAGGAAAATTGGAGGGAAAGGATTATGGTGATTACCATCCACCTCCTTTCCCCAGTTTTGATCTGCTCATGTTGCAGGTGCATGTAAACTATCTGAAGGAAGTGCTAATCAGAGAATAAGCAGATGTAATAGGACACTCAACAAGTAGTGCCATCTTTCTAACTTACCACATGATGATCTCCATTCCTTATTTAAAAATTTCAAGTACAATGCCTGTTGTGTTCACCCTTGTGCTCCTTGCCTGACCCTCCAAACACAGAGCACACAAAGGCAAACTAATCTCATTTTTACACTGCTGCCACCAGGTGATCATTAATCACCATTACTTCAGGAAGATGAAGATTCAGGCCCACACTTCAACGTCTTTTAAGTATAACTTTTGTTTATTGATTACAGAAATTGATAGTGATTCATGAATATCTTCTTTAGGTAAATTTATTATTAATAACAATCTTCCATTTGATAATACACTCCTAACTCTAATCACTCCTCAGACTTCCCTAAACTCCACACTCTGTCCTCCTTCTCCACTCTCCCACTCTACTCATACTCTCTCTCTGACTGACTCTCTCTCAGGCTCCGCCTCTTATCACATCTCTCCTGGCTCTGCCTCTCAGCAACATGAATATGTATTAACAATTAACATAACAAACATGAACCATTGACATAATAAAGGGGAACTCTACAATGTCAAATTCAGGTCACTGAATTTTTCTTGATGCTTGTTCACCAGATAATTGCTACTTCTGTTGCCAGCTATTCTGCTGATATGGAGCACAATTATCGTCTAGAAGTTGTGGGACATATTCCAGAAGGGTATGTGTGAGAATATTTGTACGTATGTGTATGTGTGTTATTTTAGTACCTTCAATATGTTTTTCAATAATACTATCCAAACATTGAAAACGTCGTTATATCGCCCTGTCCTAAACAATATCATGGGTTTTTATTTTAAAAAGAAAAACAAAATGAAATTCTGTTTTGCAGGGGCTGAATCTCTTTTGGAGATAAGGTTTAGCACATTGGATAACTTTTGTAACCTTCACACTAAAACATGGGATAGAGTCACTGCAGCTGCAAAATCAGGGTCCCCTTGCCTCCTCTCTTTGTTGGAGGTGTAGTCCTTCGGGCATGCCATATATATAGCCCAATGGGCAGCAAGATTATGCCTCCCAAGATGCTCTGGGGCAGGGTCTTTTATGTACAGGAACTAGGCCCAGAACAGTCTAGAACAGGGATGGCGAACCTTTTTGAGCCCGAGTGCCCAAACTGCAACACAAAACCAACTTATTTGTTTCAAAGTGCCAACACTGCAATTAAACCTGAATACTGAGGTTTTAGTTTAGAAAAAGCAACGGCTCCTGCATTGCAAGGGTTACATGTTTTTTCTCCCTAGGGGCGGTATTAACAAAGAAATACTTACTGGTCCTCCAATCCCCCATCGAGCTAGAGTGGTAATAGACACCAGTGCACCCCTCCACTGGACCACTGGACCAGCAGAGGGGAATGCCCAGATCCAGGATTGGAGGACAGGTAATTAGCAATGGCCCCTGCATTGCAAGGGTTAAATGTCCCCCCCCCCCAGGGGTGGTATTAACAAAGAAATACTTACTGGTCCTCCAATCCCCCATCGAGCTAGAGTGGTAATAGACACCAGTGCACCCCTCCACTGGACCACTGGACCAGCAGAGGGGAATGCCCAGATCCAGGATTGGAGGACAGGTAATTATTTCTCAACAGCGACTTATGGCTCGCATGTCCACAGAGAGGGCTCTGCATGCCAGCTGTGGCATGCGTGCCATAGATTCACCATCACTGATTTAGAAGATGTGACTGAAATGTCACATGAAAGTGTGTAAGTGTGTCTGTGGGCAGGAACTTTCAGAATTCTGCCTGAGGAATTATTGGAAAATTCTGAGCATCAGAGTCCAGAAGAAAAACAATGGCACACCCTTATCCCTCTAGCTGTTGACGGATGATAGGATGCCCAGCTTTTTCCGAGGCCTTCACAACAATGAAATAGGCTAGATGACATTTAGAATGCAAGAGATCTAAGTCTTAATATAGTTGGTCACAGGAGAGCACACTCTTATGTTACCATGTGGCACAGTGGTAGGCATAAGACAAAAAAGGGAGGGGAAAAAGACAAAACACTGTAGTACATTAAAGATTAACAGTTTGACTTTGTTGTGAGCTTTCATGGATCAAAATCCATTTAGCTTACACCAGAATGAAACTATTAAGTCTTTAAAGTGCTGCAGGCTAACACAGCTGCTTCTTTGGAAATTTGTGGGCATGAGAATATGCCACACTCTGACAACCCATAGAAGAACTTGCAAGTCTTTGCTAAATTGAAGTTCCTCATTTTGTCCAAGCCAGGAACTGTAATTAACAAGACGTGGAAGAAGGTAGGATCTTAAACTGACACTTCTAGATGAAATGAAGAAATATGATTAATTGAAAGGCTTTCTGTATTACTGTGGCAGGAAGGAATGAATGATGCACAGACAGATCACAGAGGCAAAAGGCTTTTGCATACCTTGGCCTTTAAAAAAAAAACCAGCTTATTTTAATCTCAACATGATCGTTATGTGACAGCAAACTGATTCCCTGTGAGGGTAACATACAATATTAATATTCTCAGAATATTTTAGATGCTATCCATATTTGTTGAAATATGTTTTTAGTTATATGCATCCTACAGTACCTGTATAAAAACAAATCCCAATGAAGTAAAAACAAAGCTAAAACTAAAACAAAAACCGGAGCTAGGTCAAATTTTCCAAGAGAAAATTTCCCAGTTACAGAACCAGCACTAAGAAGGATTCGTCCCTGGTACCCAACAAACCTAAAAGATCTTAGTAACATGTGAATGAACAGGCTTTTGTATCTTAAGTACTGCAAATGTTATAAACAATGTGACTGAGAGTTTGTGTTGCCATTCTGTTTCGTTATAGATAGCTCTAACAACATTTTTAACTATATGCACTGCCCCTAGTTTTCTATGTCTGGATGCTATTTTTCTCATTCCATTTCTATATTTTAATACACAATACTTTTGGCCACATAAGTCTGTCCTTATTATTTCACAGCATTCCCCCACCACAGTCTCCGCCCATGGATATCCTCTCAGAAGTAGTCACAGAAGCATTTGGAGTTGCTTTAGTTGGTTATGTTGCATCACTAGCCCTTGCCCAGGCCTCAGCTAAGAAGTTCAACTACTCTGTGGATGACAACCAGGTATAGTTCTATATTATTTCTGACAGTGCCGCCCACTTATTTATTAATTGCATTTATATCCTGCCCTCTTCTCTAATGAGCAGCCCACATGGTTCTCCTTGTCCCTTCTTTAGCTTTACAACAACCTTGTGTTCTAAGGAAAAGTAAAGGTTCCCCTTGACATTTTATTTACAACAACCTTGTGTTGTAAGGTAAAGGTAAAGGTTCCCCTTGACATTTTTAGTCCAGTTGTGTCCGACTCTAGGGGGCGCTGCTCATCCCATTTTTCAAGCTGTAGAGCCAGCGCTTGTCCGAAGACAGTTTCCATTGTCACGTGGCCAGCGTGAGTAGGGAACGCCGTTTTACCTTCCCACTGAGGTGGTACCTATTTATCTACTCGCATTTACATGCTTTCGAACGGCTAGGTTGGCGAGGAGCTGGGACAAAGCGACAGGAGCTCACTCCGTCATGTGGATTTGATCTTACATCTGCTGGTCTTCTGACAGTGCAGCACACAAAGGCTTCTGCGGTTTAGCCCACAGCGCCACCACGTCCACTCGTGTTGTAGAGAGTGATATTATAACATTTGTCAATAGCCAGACTGCCTGGAGAGTTCTCAGAATTTTAGTCCAGAACAGTTACTTTTCTAAGCCATGTAGACTTTGCTCATCAAGCCCTGTTGGCAGGCTTGAAAGCCCACAGTGAGTTATAGAATGCTGCGGTAAATTAAACTCTGGATCCGATTCCACAAGACTCATCCTACGTTCTGCTTTTCCAAAACTTTCCAGGAGTTCTTGGCTCACGGCCTCAGCAATGTGATCCCTTCGTTTTTTTTCTGCATTCCAAGTGCCGCAGCCATGGGACGGACCGCGCTCCTGTACAGCACAGGAGCAAAAACCCAGGTGATGTATGTGAAAGCTCTGGCGAATCTCGAAGAGAAATCCACTTGTTACACTGGCAGGAGGAAGGGAGAAAAGCACAATGGTCCTCCACTCTCCCCAGCTGCCCTAGGAGAGATAATCTCTACTAATCAAATATTGGAGAAACCAGGACTTAATCTCACTGGATTTATATGGAGTGGGGGGCGGAAATAGGTCTTGGCACTTGCAATCTGCAGATGTCTTCATCTCCCATAATGTAGGCTAATTTTCCCAGTAAATCACTATCTCATGTGGACTTAGAGATAGTTGCCCTTTTCCTGCATTCAGCTGTAGTTCACAGCAGAAGCAGTGAAAGTATGGCTCTCCAGGAAATGTTGGCTCACAACTCCCAGTTGCCCCGAATAGCATAATTCACGGCATTGGTATCCAAGGGGAATGAAGGTGCTCCCCCACAATCCTACATGCATGCATTATTTTAATATATACAGGCAAACACTGTATCATAGTTGTACCTTTTGTGCACATGATTTATGCAAATTAGGCCAGACTCCCAGAAAAATGATTGGCTAGTTGTAAAGGAATGCTGAGAGTTGCAGTCTAGCAACATCTGGAGGACTGTGTTTGCCAACCCTGTGCTTTACAAGGATGAATCTGAGGAATTAAAGGTTTCTGACTCAAATATATTCTTAATATTTCTAGACCTTTCTTATTTCCCCTGTCTTTTATTCTTCCCATACCTTATCTGTTGGCTGGCATTGTAGCTGCAGTTTGGGCTGCAAATTACGGCACAACAGACAAGCCTAAGATTTCAACCTTTCATGGTTCATGTTGTGGTTCATAGAACTGCTTTTGGAATGAATAATTCTAGAAATCCCAGATGTTGTTACTTTTGTGCTTGTGCATTTCTTTACACTTGTGTCATCGTATGCTGGTTGTCATCCACCCTGGTTTATTCACTTCCTTCAGACTCTGTCAGGGTTGTTTACACTTGATTTTTAACCACAGGAGTTTATTCAATTATGAGAACCATGCCCTTGGGCAGATTAATTCCAGAGTATAATATGCTAAAGGATACAAGTCAATAATAACTCAACCACTTTTAAAGAACTCATCTGTCTAATTAGAGTAAAATTGTCTTAAGCTTCCAACTGCATTTCATGCACAGCATTTTGATTCTTGGATCCCACCTCAGGCTTGAACCAGTTCCCTTCTATAGTATCTGTTGTACATTTGGATGCCAAGGAATGCATGGTCAGTCATTATAGCTGCAGTCAGTTATTTGTCTCTCTATATATAAACGGCGGTGGTGGATATGAAAGGATACAGAAAGGCATCATGTAGGCTGCACATTCTTAATCAGAATAGCTACAAAAGTGGTGCAAGCAGATCTTTCACCCCTGCACACCCCCACTCAGAAACACACATACACACTTTTTTACTTACAGGGTCTATTGATGGGCAAATATATAACTTTCACCCAGAACTTGAAGAAGTTCCTTTGTGGACAACAACTCCCAGAATTCCTCAGCCAGCATATTAGTTTAATTACTGAAGATACTGGGTAGGAAGTTATAGGGAGTTATAGTAAAAAAATTGCAACTTTTCCAAGTTCTTCTTACGTGTTGTGAAAAGAGGCTTATAAAGTGATCTAGGTCTCATCTACTCAGCCTAAGCCCTACCGAATTCAATTTACTTCTAAATAAATGCGTGTAGGATTACAATCTTAACAGTAGGCTCTTTTTTTTAAAAAAATAATTTTATTTTATTTAGGAACAGGGATAGAGGGTACAGAAAGAAAGAGGGGATAGGAAAGGAAAAATGGTTTTGGGGGATAGGAGAGCATCCTTCTGCTGCTCACCATCTGCTTCAGAGAGACTTCTTCTAGACTCTCCTTTGATCCCCATTTCAAAAGGGGGATCCCGGACCGGAGGGTTCCAGCTTTTTCCAGAGAGAGCTCCTCTCTGGAGTTGCTGGCAGCACCGCAACAAAGCCCCGCCTCCAACAGTAGGCTCTTTTTCAGTGAGAAAATGTGTGAGTCCTTGTCTGGAAGTGATTTTCCCAAGAAGTAATGTTCCCAACAAAACACCAATGACATCTAGAGCTGACATTCTGCAGTGAGATTGCCATTTCCTGAAAACAACATTCACCCCCAGCTTTTTCAGGGCATGCTGTATACACTCATTATTATGAAGCCTTTAACAAGTATCAGCTGCCTGAATCTAGAGATACTTGTACATCTGGATGAAGGCAAGCCCTGTCTTCCAACAATCCTTTCCCTTTTGTATGTGCCAGTGGATGCTCTGGAAACATGAGTGAAGTCATGCAGCCAACCACTGGAGATATCCACAGATGAAAGGGAAGGGAATGGGAAATCATTTCTGAATATTTTATGCCCAGAAAACCTTGGAAAAGGTTGTCTTAAATCTGAAGGACTTGATGACTCACTGTGGTGCTGGTTGTGGTGGTGGTGGTTAGAGTAATCCCATTGAATGAATGGAACTTGTCATGTCAACACTTAAGTACGTGCCATTGTCCAGAATCCTATTGCTTAATTCCTTTGCTTCAGAGAAATTGTTGTGACAAACTGCCAGTCATGAACAAGATGCTGGTTACATTCCTGGATACATGCCTGATGTGCAATAGGGCATGTGGCCAGGAATGCATGAAGAATTTCGTTAATGTGCAGAAATTTTCTGCCACATTGTGCAGTGTTTCTCTCATGGAAGTGTAAATTGGCAGTAAGATTCTGGCTTTTGATTCAGTGCATCTAGTTTTGTTGGGGCTAACAATTGGATCTTGCCCTTTGACAAGTTCTTTCTCAACTGTTCTTTGAGTAACCTCACTCCCACAGGCTCACTTAAGGCAAGTATGGTAGGCAGAACTTGGAAAAGTTGTTTTTACAGACTACAAATCCCAGAAACCCCCCTATTCAGCAAAAAAGTACCTTTTCCAAGCTCTGAACAAGTTCACCATCCTAATATCCGCTTAGAGAAAGTGCAGGTTAAATTAAAGCCCACTGTCTTTGAGAGGATGGTTTGGAGGAGAAGAATATTGCTTGTCCTTGCTGCCACTTCTCTGTTCCAAGCCCCTCGGACCCAAAAAAAGCAGATGACAGGCTTTTGTTACACATGTATGAATTTGACATGTAATCTTGTCCCCATCTGATTAATTTAAGTGGGATTCAACATACATTTCTTTGCATTGGAAGTATTATGCTAATACAAGCACAAAATGAGCCCATATTGCTTATGTTTTTTAAAAATTCTCAGTACTTCATGCCTGTATGTTTTCCAGTTCAGAAGCTCCCCTCCCGTAGTGTCTACCTCTATATCTACAAGCAGAAAGTGGACCTTTCTGCATGTGTGTGTGTTTGTAGATTGTGTCTAAAATTTGTGTTGTTTTTTTCTGGTGGGCTAAGAATAATCCACCACAGGTCAAAATCTTAAATTATCCTCAGATGCTTCCAATCTACTGACGATGTGAGAGCCAAAATCCCCATTCCTGGCTTCTTGAATTTTTATGTGTCTGCAATGTTTTGTTATACTCAGCAATTTCGACAAACCGAACACTTTAATCTTCTTTTAGACATATTTTAGAATTTGAATAATGTGATTGTTTCTGCTTTTCCTTTCTATTTGTTTTTAGGTGGCTTGTCTAATATCCTGCATACTGGTGCTTGTGGTCATCTATGCAGTAGGACCAATGTTATACTGGCTGCCCATGGTACATGTTTCCTTCTTCTTTCAGAGAAATACATCTTGTTTGCATTGCATATTTCTTATATAATTCTCAACTATTCTTTTTCAAAATGACTGCTCCACCTTTCATTATGAGTCCATGATTATTAATGCTCTCATAGATGGAAGAGAACATAACCATTTTATGTGCCAAGAACAAATAAAAAGGTATTATTTCTGTTTTGCTTGGATATGAACAGCGTTAATGGGGCTTATTGCAGATGTTTAGCATTGTTGCACGTACTATATAATTTTGCAATAGGCTGTTGGATTGGATTCTAGCATCAGGATAAAGTGTACCCCCTTATTTCATTCCTTAGGAAGGGGGACATTTATCCTCTATCTTCACAAGTAAACCATCAGACACCTCACACCAGGCATACAGAGAGAGAGAGAGAGAGAGAGAAACACAATACTTTGAGTTTATTTTCCATTTCTGTGGCAGTTACTTTATAGGAGGCAGTATTTCATATCTGATGTATGGCGATGACTTCTAGAATGGTCTGCCTTAGTTTAGTACCTCTTTATTCCTCCTGCCTCATCAAACCTCATGCAAGAGTTTCTGCATGTTTTGCATGCCATTAATAATTTTTCCTTCAGAGTCCCTGTTACCAATGTGTAAAGTGTGTATAATCCCACTTCCCCATTTCTTCCAACTGCACATTTCCCAGCATTCCAACTGCACACTCTGTGCAACCACATGCTAAACCTCACCCTCACTCCCATTCTCCACCAGTGTGTCATAATGGTTCCAGTGTTGGACTAGATCTTGGAAGAGCCAGGTCCTAGTTCCCACTAAGCCATGCAGCTCACTAGCTGAATATGAGATACTTATGCTCTCTCAATCAGACCTCCTTCACAAGGCTGTTGAGAAGAAGTGAAGGAAAGACAGGATATAAATGTAATTAATACATAATAATAAACAATATGATTTGGTCTAAATAGGATTAACCAGAAGGAAATCCCACTGCTTTTCTTGAGATTCACCTCTATGCTTATTTCCTTGAATTAAGTTCAGTTTGACTCTGGGATTTAACTTCTGGAAACCAAATATACATTCTAGAGAGAATCTGAAATTCATTGATGATCTAGAGATGTGATTTAGGCAGAGCCTCATGACTGAGCTATCCTACTTGCAAACGAAGCACATGTGTTTACCTTCTGATAACCAATCACACAACAAAACAATCTGATTTGCAAAATACGGGAAGTGTGAGAAACTCCAAATGCAATCAGCATTTTCTCAGCATTTAGGGAACTCCTAATGGCAGATTATTTGTAACATGCAGGCTAGTCTTTAATAAACATTTATTTGTTTATTGACAGAATTCATACGCTGCCCAATAATTATTTGATGAAACATTAGAAGGCAGTAGCTGAAGTCTTGTTGCATATTAAATACTAAGTCACAAATATTAAGTCTTTGAGTAAACTCACTCCCACAGGCTCACTTAAGGCAAGTATGGTAGGCAGAGCTTGGAAAAGTTATTTTTACAGACTACAAATCCCAGGAGTTGACTCACCAAATCCCCACTGATTCAGTGGGTCCATTCTAGTGTGATTTACTATGCTAACCAACAGTATTTCAGTCACAGTCACAAAAGAAGAAAAATAGTAGACAATTTTCATCTTAATGATTCAGCTGACGCATAAAGCAATAACAGCATTAAAATGCAGAGAGTCAAAGACCATAAAGTAATATCCAGTGTTGCTAAAAGTACACAACTGATCTTTACATTTTCTATTTTATGCACATTGCCAACTTGCCTGTTCAGGAAGCAAGAACCTTCCTGGAATCTAAACAAAGAACATGAGAAGCTGCAGCACAGACCTTGGGAAAACTTTTTCTCTGGACCACAAGCTCAATATCCAGTGATCATGTAGCCTGGAAGATTCTGGGAATTGTAGTCCAAAAGAGCAACATTCCCAAATGCTGCTGTAGACACATAAAACGCCATGGGTCTTAGAGAATAATAAATATCAAACAGTACGGCAAAGTAGTTAGATGCATTTCCATGGTTTGTGAATTTTTTTTCAAATTTTAGCCAAAGGCCATTGAAACATTGAGTCAATACACAAAACCAATGACAAGTCAATAAAACAGCAGCTTCATAACCATATATAACAAGTTCCAAAATGACTAGAATTTAAAAGATACAGGGGGCTATAAAAAGTCTGGCCTCGAGAAGGAAACAGACAATGTGGGCATCACAGAGGACTCACTGCCTTTTGTCAGCTCCTTCCCAAAGGAAGGAGGGGGAGAGAGGAAAGATAAGAGAGCTTTGCTGACCTGGAGGGGTGTTGCTGCTGTTTCCAACTTAGTTTGTGAGTCTTTGCCTTGGTAACTCTTCAAGTTACTGAGTAGATTGAACTGTTTCACCCCTTTCATTCCCTTTACGAATTTGATGCCTAAACCCCAAGGTTTCATTAGGAGGAACTCTACCACAGCACTCTCGGCCCTACTATTATGAAGGTAACTGCTACTCCCATGGAAGAACCAGAGGATATTCTGGATTTCATGTTATTGATCCCTGTGCTGCAATCTATTCAAAATGAACTGCTCCCATGCATTGTTCCATTTTCAGAACTTAAAGAATCAGGAGCTGGCATTGTATTGATGCCCTTGTGTTAGGAGCTGTTTGGCACTCATGACAAGGATGGTTTATCCCCCCCCCTCGGATAACAACCCAGATGGGATCATTAGGGTGGTTGAGAAAGTGGGAGGTGACACAACAAAGAAACACTGGAAACAAATTAAGATTACCAACTTTGTTAATATCAGGGAGCGACATACTCATAGAACGGACCATAAGGACTACCTTGGGAAGTCAAGAAGGCCCATAATTGACTTGCCAGACAGTGTTGTTGACAATTCTCAGATGCTGGACACCATATGCCTATCTAGTAAACTGGATTTTGGTCGTATGAGATCACTAGACTTAAGCCTCTTACCAGATGCTTTTCTAGGTGGAAGAGCCCTGTCAGATGCATCAAAGAGCCCAAGGACTACTGGAAAGGATTACGCCCTGGTAGAAGCCACTGAGGCAGAGAAAGCCCAGAACACCCCATCCCAGTGAGAGGGTTATACAACAATACGTCCACAAGAGATGATCCCTATGCTCATAACCAGACCCAATTATTAGAAATCAGGGATTTCTTATTTGACATCACTGAATGATCCCACAGAAAAAAAAATGGAATGGCCTTTGCACTACATTCTGTTTATGAAAACCTATAGAAATGTACAAAACTCTCTTGGGCAAAAAGGCACTGCTGTGCATAGAAATAGTAATGTTAAGATTAGCTTCATTTTTTAAAAAAGTTGGCCAGAAGCTTATTCAAGGCATGAGGCTTGAAAAATCACATAGTATATTGGAAAAGATGTTCATTCACAGCCTCTGCTCATCTCTGCATAGTTTTCCTTGTGGGTTCATCTAGCATCCCAAATGCTTTTAAAATGTATCCTTGTAGTTGCCATCCAAATGTATTATTTATGATACTGTACTTGTTTGTAGGCCAGCACCTGCGAAATATGTGTGTAGTTCTTTTGTACTTTTACATTATTTTTGGAATGTTGATATCTATAGTGCAGAAATGTTTACAGGCACTGGGAAATTTGCCTGTGCTCTTTGCCAAAATAAGGTTTGCATTTGGAGAAAATAGCCAAGTTTGCCTTCTCACAAACACTTCTTTTATTCCAGTGTGTCCTAGCAAGTATCATTGTAGTGGGGCTGAAGGGGATGCTCATGCAGTTCCGTGATTTAAAGAAATACTGGAACGTGGATAAAATAGACTGGGTAAGCAAAATTTATTCTCAGAAGATTTTGTTCATGAGGCTTTCAATTCATAGAATCCTTTCTTTTTGCTTGTTCCCCATACTGAGAATCCTCCCACTACACAAACAAATGATTTGATACTGAGATCCAATATCAGATTCCAGTGGAGTCCATTACTCCCTTTGCAGCAGTTTTGGGACACTTGAAGAGAAACCACTTGGAAAAGTGTCTGATTCTGTATCCCAGTACAGATTATGCAAACTGGATGAAATTTCACCATTAAAATTAGTGACTGAAGTAGAAAACTTCCCAGCAAACTTGAAGAGTTTAGTTGATTTGTTTAAGGACAAAAAAGTTGCTAGATTTAACGATTGGATGATTAAAATGAGATTGAAGGATCAGATTATAGTTAAACTTCAAACTAATAGATTGTCATGGTATAACTATATCCAGTTAGATAGCTGGACAAAAGAATAGGTGAAAATTAATGGCAAATGTAGAGAATACACTAAGTACGAACAATTTTTATCATCACATAAAGCTATGCAGAAAGATGCTTTGATGAAGGGAGTAGCAAGTAGAATATATAACCTAATTTTGGAACAAGAAGAAAAGAAGACAGAAATAGAAGGTTTGAAATCAATTTGGGAAAATTATTTAAAGACAGAAATCAAAATAGAGGATTGGATAAAAATTTTATTTATATCCCGCCTATCTGGTCGGTTAAGACCACTCTAGGCGGCTAACAACATAAAATAGGCAATAAATGTATATAAAACAATTTTTACATAATAGAAACATAGAAACATTTGCAGAAGAAGGGAACAGGTGATAGGAAAGAAAATGAAGAGGACGTCAGGAATTGTCTGGAGGGAAGGCCTGCCGAAACATCTTTTTAATTGATTTTTAAAGATACCCAGCGAGGGAGCCGAGGGAGGATGAGACTTTTAAGATTAATGTCGGTAAGAATAAAAGGGAAAAAAGTTAAAATCAGTTTAAGGTGGTATATCACTCCAGTGAAAATGAATATAATAAATTCAGGTTATTCTAAAGCTTGTTGGAAATGTGATGTATTATATATGGTGGGAGTGCAAACGGATTCAGAAATTTTGGAAACTGATTTTTAAGGAAATATGTGATATATTTGGAAAAGAGATTGAATTCAATTCTGAAACTGCTTTGTTGTCAATTTTTATAAGATAGAACTTGTTTATTGTTCTAAGGAATTGATTTCCAATTTTATGACAAGTGCTAGAATATTAATAGATAGATTTTGGGAAAGACAAAATAACATTAGATTAGAAGATTGGCATAATGAAGTATTGTTGTTGTTTAGTCGTTAAGTCATGTCCGACTCTTTGTGACCCCATGGACCAGAGCATGCCAGGCCCTCCTGTCTTCCACTGCCTCCCAGAGTTGGGTAAAATTGCAGTGTGCCATAATGAAGTAAGGGACATTGCATTAAATGATAAATTAACTACTAAACTTAAGATGAAAAGAGGGGAAATAAGTTCAAATTTTTAACGCTATTTGGGGTAGATTTGTTGAATGTGTACTAGTGAAAGGAAAGGGGAAAGCCTCTAAACAACAATCAATACAATTTTGGAAAGGAAGATCATATTAAAAGTATTGTTCTAAGGGGTCCAGTGGGTATGGGGTGCATGGTAGTTTAGATTGTGTAATATGTTTTTGCACTTTTGTATTTTTGTTCTGAAAAAAAAAATTAAAATTAAAGTACAAATGAAGACAGGAAATATGTTTTTTTCACTTTTGTATTTGTTTTTGTTCTGAAAAAAATTTAAAATTAAAGTACAAATGAAGACAGGAAAAAAAAACCCTCTTTCATAGTTCCAAAGCATATAACCTCAGAAAGATCACTATATTGCCATTAAACATGATCAGTTGCTAGTTCCTATGGTTCAGCTAAGGCTCAATACTTTGCATAATTTAGCTTTCTTTAGCCAGAATCCTATTATTTATCCACACCAGCTTAAAGACAATTACATAAATCTCAGTGGCAAATCGCAAGCTACTTAAGGTGTCGCTACTTGTATTCTTCACCACACACTAGTTGCACAACTTCCACAATACGAGGAATGCAAGTGCTAGCTAGCACAAGATTGACACTGAGATTTACACCAATTAAATTTTATCCGTGATTTAATAATTTTAATTTATTTCAAAAATACATTTTTTAAAAGCCCAACGTGTTTTCTTTGTGTGTGCTGCCATTATAGTGGATGAATATTCAGATTTAATATTCAGATGTGAAACTGATGGTTGGGCTTTAGGTTTGCTAACAAGGACAACAACAAGAACAATCGATAATAGGAACCATGAATCAAATGTAGGTTTGTTTAACTAATTGCTTTTTTCTTTTGCTCCTTACAGAGTATATGGGTGAGCACCTATGTGTTTACAATTTGCTTTGCTGCTAATGTGGGACTGTTGTATGGGGTCGTCTGCACAATACTTATCGTGGTTTTTCGTTTTCCGAGGTGAGACATTCTAGCAAATGTCAGAAGCAAATAACAGTCTCTTTTAATGAATCCATTAGCTCCGTTTAAGTCAAAATATACACTAGATGCTCACATTCATACTTTGTGTATTTGTTACAGAGCGACAACCTTGAGCCTGAAACACATGAAAGAAATGGAATGCAGACTCAAAACAGAAGCAGATTCTGTAAGCTTAATCTCCTTTATATTTAAACAAAGATAAACTTTGCCTTAGAAAAACGTCCTTCTCTTCTCTATCCTTTTGTAGAAACATACACATTTCAACTCTAACCCACAACCTTATACATGCAGGCCATTCTCTGTGAATGACACACAGAGAGAAGAAATGGCCTTCTTTGTCTCGTATAAATACAGTGAGAACAAAGCATCCTGCTTATATATCAAATAATAGCATTTAAAGCACTTTCTGGGCAGTTTACAATTTAATTATGCAGGCTACACATTACTTCCCCCATCCTTAGTGAGCTGGGTGCTCAACTTACTGTCCGGAGAAGGATGGAAGGTTGAGTGACCCTTGAGCCTCTACCTGGGATTGAACCCAGGTCATGAGCAAAATTTTGGCTGCGTTATGGCAGTTTAACCACTGCGCCATGAAGCTATAGTTATCTAGTAACATATAGCATCCACATGGCATGCCCTTGCCATTCAGAACACTGCTGTGTAATATAGGAATGTGCACAGTCTGATGACATCTTCCCTTTCTAGCCTCCAGGTCCAATGCATGTTCAGACCCATCATTAGTTTGTTTTACCTGGCAAGAGGCACCCTTTTCTTTGCTTCCTTTTTCAAAGTTAGGCATGTTTGTGGATGTTTTAAATTTCATGCATGGCTTGCTTGAACATGTCCCCTCCCCCATTGGCTAAAGTGCACTTTGGAAATGTTTTGCAGACATTTTATATGCATTTTTCCTGTGTGCACTCTTCAAATGTGTGCATATTTTGTGGAAGCATCCATAGCCTCGTGAGGATTTTGGAGAGTCCAATTTGCAGACAGTGGGAGTGAGACAGTCCCATTGAACAGAGCTGTGCAGATCAGTGTTTAGGCAACAACTCTCAGGATTCATAGCTACCTGGGGAATTCTGCGAGTTGTGGTCCAAAAACACTAATTTTGTGCATTGAATGCAAACCTGAGAATGGATTCTTCACATATCCCTAATACAGTATAGCTCTGATGGTATAAAAATATCTAGGGAAACTTAGAGTTTGTCTGACGGTTGCAACTGAAATCTCCTGGCCCACTGTGATTTTGTTTCTTGTGTGGCCTAAACTGTGATCTGAGGCATGACAATACCTGACTGTTTTTTCTGTAAAAGGTGTGGATGAAAGGTGTTCCTCCAGATGGTGTTGAACTATAAGCCTCTACTATCACTATGCCACACTGAGCAAACCAATCTCATCTGATTTTTGAAGCTAAATCAGATGATATCTGGTCAGTACTTGGATGGGAGACCACCAGCAAACTTAAGGGATCTACAGCTGGAGCCAGGAATGAATTCTGCCTGAAATCCTGGAAGGCCATTGTAGCCAGTCAGAGTTTATGACACTGTGCTAGATAGGCCAGTAGTCTGACTCCGTATAAGGCAGCATCCCATGTTCCTAACCCCCAGCTATTCTCACCATTGTCTGTGCTAGCCAGGGCTAAAAAGAATCACAGACTAGCAACATCTGGAGGACAAGATTTAACCCACCTGTATTAGAAATGAAACAATTTGATTGTTTAAAAGCATTGTTGTACTTTCTTGTTGTTCCAAAGGAGTCTTTGCAGCAAGTAAAAATAGTGTCAGTGAATAACCCTCTCGTCTTTCTGAATGCTAAGAAGTTTCACTCAGATATATTAAAAATAATCCAGAAAGAGAGCACATGTGCGCAGCAGCTATTTGAAGATATAAACAAGGTAAGGGTTCCGTAGCCATGTAGTTGCGACTATTTGTATTTCATCAGTACTTCCCGCCCCCAAGGTTTTGTGTTCGTATTATAAAAGACAAAAATCAGAGTACATTCTAGAGTCAGACCAAGCAGTTCTTCATTGCATTTTGGGAAGTGGCCATGACTTGGGAGAGGCCTTGGAAATGTTAACTTTTTAACAACAACTCCCAGAATGACATCATTGGCATGGTCACTGGCCATTTTTGATGGGGACTCTGGGGGTTGCAGTTCTTAAAAAGTCATGTTTTCCAGCAATCCTGAAGAGTCAAGAACACACATGGCAACACAGAAAAAGAGGAAGCTCCCAAGTCACGTGCCAAGTCAGATAACTTTTCCATCTACTCTAGCATTGCTAGGTACCATCCAGGATTTCTCTTATGGGCCCCTTCCAAGTTAATTGTTCAATGATTCTGTGACTCTAGACCTCCCTGAAGATGTCAAGGATTGAAATCTGGGACTTTTGGCGTGTAAAACGTATGATCATTCTATTCATGAGGTCTCACATTTGGTCTGTGGCATGTCTAGTTAAAGGGCACTTGTCTTCTTTAATCAAGGTCTTGACACCTTGTTGATAAACAGGATTGGACACTAGACTTTTGAATAGACTCAGCAGAATAGGGTGGGCAACTTCTGACCCTCCAGTTGTGGACGGACTACAGCTTCCAGCAGCCATCACCACCATAGCCAATGGTGAGGGGAGATGGTCATTGCCATCCAACAGCTTCTGGAGGACTGTAGGTTTTTCACAAGAGAAGAAGGCAATATAACAACAAAAATGAGTATTTGTATAGGCCATCATGTCCTGTGTTTCCAAGTTTCTCTTTGGCTTTGGGCCTGATGTAGCCATTAACTATGATCACTCATCTTCAGATACTCAAGGCAGTAGAGCCATTTTGATGACAAGCCTGCAACTAGACCCCTTCTCATGTGAATGCTGCCGGTTGAAGGCACAAACTCAGTCAGAGGCTCCCAGACCAAGGGAAAGTCTCCTTGAGAGAAGTGGCTTGCTTAGGAGTAGGGAAACTAGCTTGCCAAATTCTGCAGCTGAGCTGGCCATATGCTCAAAGCTGAGCTCAGGGTTGGGTCTTTAACAACCTAGCTATAGAAGACTTTTCCTGGAGACAGCATCTCTTCTAATCCCAGCTGTTGCCTGCCTGATATGCTGATCCTTGTTGCTGATTCCCTGGCTATGAATGAATCTTTGGGTTGGTTGATTTTTGGACTGTTCATAGACTGTTGCTTTGGATTTGCTTGCCTCTTTAGTGAATCTCTGGTTACTTGACCTTCACTCTAATTCTGGACTTCTTTGGCCTTGTGCCTTAGTTAACCAAGATCACACCTGCAATTTAGTCCACTGCAGAACAGTGGACTAAAATTTATTTATTTCCTCCTGCATAATAAGCTTGTGTGATTTGGCAAAATACAAGCTAGATTCCACTAAGGCAGAAGCAGATTCCTTCTAATGATTTTGGTTGTATAGAGTCAAGAAAGCATGAACTTGTTTTTTTTTTTTAAATTATGGATCATCTGTCACTTTACACAAGCTCCAATTATATGAATGCTTACCCCTTATGGAAATCAGTGTTTGAGGCTGTGGAGTTGATCCACATTAAGAATCTTAAAGTACAACCTGAAGCAAGCCAATACAAACAATAACCTGGTTAAAGCCAGAAATCCAGAAACCAGTATAGATAGAATACAGGATACAGGATGTGCCAGAGAGTTAGGTGGTATTTCTGGTGGTCCACAGAGCACACTCCTTTGTGTTGAAGCCCAACAGAAGTAGAAAACAAACTGTACACAATAAATCAAGATTTCTACCAGTACGATACAGAAGTGTGATGTGTGCTAGTGTGAAGGGAATAGCAGTCCTATAAATGTAGAAAAGAATTATACAAGTTCATGTTAATAAATAATCTTTTTCTGTTGTTTAATCTGTATATCCTATGCCTTTTAAAAATCTGATGCAACAGTGTCGGAGGCCAGTTCCTCGTATGCTGGTAGGCTCGTATGCTGCTGAGGGTCAAACTAGATGTTAAGAGTAATGCATATTTCCTCTGATGAAACTACTTTTCCTCTGATGATGTACTCTCCTCAGAGATGGAGGACTTCACAATCAGATTTGCAAATTAAATGTGTGCTTATCTTTTAATGATTAATCTCAAAACAATGAACACTGAATGCAAGATTAAAATGTTAGAAAATCATGTGCAACACAGGGATGTAAATTTTCACTTTATTTTGATCTGTCTGATTTGAATAAGCAATTTCCAATATTTTCTGCCTCTGGATGAGATTATGATAGTTTTCTGCAACTTGTTTTGCATTTCAGCATATTTTTTTTGCAAAAATTGTGTTTTCTTCACACAATTTCTATGTGCAGACACATTGTATTTTTCACAAAATCATTTGAATTTTGCAGAAACAGAGAGGATTATACATGAAATACAGTGTCTGGGCATAAAAAGCAATTTTGATGTTAAATAATATTTAGGGGTTGCTAAAGCTACTGCTGACAAAAACCTCTGATCTTTTAATTGTCATGAATGAGTAAAAATTTTGCAATTGTTTCATTGGGTTGTTCTGATATACTGAGGCAGATTATTTAAGGCTAAAAAAAATCTGGGAATATCCATTACATCCCTGGTGCTAAACAAGCAGATGTCTTTCACCACTTGAGGGAGCATTTCTTGTAAGTATATGCTACATATATTCTTTAGTTTGACCCTCAGACATGGGAACAAACATTTCAAAGTAAACAGATATTCATTAGTTCATTTAATTCATTAAAATATATTCATAACATAATGCTAATTTTTGCAAAAGGAAAAGGAGAAATAGGGCAATCACTTTGTTTTTCTTGTTGTTGCAGTGTGAACAAAACACTTTGCACAATCCATTATCCAATGGAAATTGTCACGGTGAGTTAATCATTTAATACATTAATACTAGGCAGGCACTTAATTTTCCAGGTCATTTTTAGGCTTAGTGTTAGGCTGCTAATGCTTGATCAAGAATCAAATGACTCTGTGCTGCCCACATATCTTCTTGGAGATACTACATCATGTGAAAAGAGACCAATCCTTGACTTTACCTCGCTGGAAACCCTGTGTATTATCAAATGAAAGAGTCAAGGTATTGTGTGGGCTCACTTACCCAACGGTCTTATATTTAAGTAGCCACCTGATTGTCACAAGCCACATGTAAACAAATGGCTGTTAAAGGAGAGGATTTTCTCTCTCTATCATAGCACAAGACATCAAATATCACCTAAAGGCAAGGATGCCTTCACTTCATACCTAGGTGCAGTGGGCTGGAGATATGAAGCTCTCCATCTCTCTGCCAGTTCCCTTAAGTCTGGTCTTCTTTTTCTGCTGGCTAATAACACCTGGCAAAGTATTATGTTCAAAGAGCATTTCAAAAGTAGTCTATGGCAAAGTTGCCAGATGTAGGTCAGCTCAATTTTAACTGTGCAGAGCTCTGGAATTCATTGGGACTATAGATTTGTATGCCTCTGGGCTACAGTTCTTTTCTCCTTCATAATAATTGTGTGTTTACAAGTTGATTCTGAGTTATGGTGATCCTTTTTAGGGTTTCCTCTGTCTAAAGTATTCAGAAGTAGTTTATCAATATTTTTTCCAGATGATGCTCTGGAAATGTGTAGCTTGCCCAAGGCCACACAGGCTGGTTCTTCTCCCAGAAGGCACATGGGGAACTGAATTTCCAACACCTGGCTCTACAGTCGGATATTCCAACTCAGTGAGCTATCTAGCTAGCTCTATATTATTTCAGATATACTCACTGGCTTGCAGCTATGACTCTTTTCAACTTTGAAAACTGGACTATGAATTTACTAAAGCTTCTCCCCAGAGAGAGGAAATATGAATTCTCAAATTGGGTTGTGCAGTTGTGCTTCATTAGCCAAGAAGCTGGTGGTTGACAGACTGTAGGATTGCAAAGAGAGTCAAACTTGCTTTAATTGAAGCTTCAGATATAGTGGAATCTGCTCCCTCAGCTTGTTGGAACAGATTGCTTAACAACACAACACATTTATTTATACCAATATGAACCATTTAAATCTATGTCTTCTTTATTTTACTGTGATGCCAAGGGTTTTTGTCAGTGTGTGTATGTGGGTATTGGTTTGCATTTTAAAACATAAGGAACCAGTTGCCAGAAACAAAGAGAAGTTGTCACTTTTCAAGAAGTCACCCATTTCCATGCCCATCAATGGTGTTTTGGTACAAGGTGACACAACACATGTGAACTTTGCATGAGATGAAAACTAATAAAAGATTTTGGAGCTGCGTGACAACCTGGGGGCTTTGAAATGTCAGCAATGATCCATCCCCCTCTATTTAAGTAAAACAGTAACCACAGGGAAAAACACACACTGGGGAATTTTCAAAGCTTTTGATGTCCTCTCCTACAATGCTTAGCCTTTCATTATCTCACTGTGGCAGAGGTTTCTTTTTTCTTTTGGACATTTTTGAATAGGCTGTAGAGAGGATTGCATTAAAGCCTAGAAGTCCCCTTAAGACTATTCTTTGTTACTGTCAGGATGGCATTTACTTTCTTTGATATTACTTTGTATTTTGCCCCCTTGCAGTGTATTTATATACACACAATAAAATAAGCCAATAAACCTCTAGAGCTGAAAGTAAAAATGCACAGGTTCATTGACTACTTTTTCAGAAGGATTTTGTGCCCCTATAAATCCATACGGTATTGGTACCTAAGTCCCTTGAATAAATTTCAGATAGCTTTGTCAAAACTATTTGGGTTAAACATTTCATATTCAGCCTCTATCCATTTATTTCGGACCCTATAGTGTATGCCAACTAAAAAAAATACTTCACACATTTTCACAAAAAGCACCCAACCCATGTTTAATAGATTATTTCAGTTCATTTAGTCATGGCTTTCCCCAATGTTTTTCAGACAAACAAAAATACTAATGATCTGCCATTTGTTCTGAGAGGCCTTTCCCCCTTGATATCAACTCCCAGAATTCTTCAGGAAGAATTCTTGGTGTACCAGCCCATAGATCCCAGAGACTTTCATTTCACTCACCTGGAAAAGGCCTCAGAGGCTATATATCTTTCTTGGCCTCATTTCCTGCTGTGATGCTTCCTGGGAGGAAGCTGCTACAGTACTACCTGAGCATGGTAGTCTTGCTTCCCTTTATACTGTGTGGCTGGTGCATCCAAAGAACTACCGTATCAAGGAAGCATTGCAGCAGGAAATGAGGCCTAGAGCATTACACATGCTCAGAGGCCTTGGGCTTGTGCAGAATTCTTCCAGGAAAAGTATTTGAGAATTGTGGGAGTTGAAATAATAGCATTATAAAAACAATTAAAACGGCATAGGTAAAGGTTCCCCTTGACATTTAGTCCACTCGTGTCCAACTCTAGGGCGCGGTGCTCATCCCTGTTTCCAAGTAATAGAGCCAGCATTTGTCTGAAGACAGTTTCCATGGTCGCATGGCCAGCATGACTAGACATGGAACACAGTTACCTTCCCACTGAGGAGGTACCTACTTAACTACTCACATTTTTGCATGCTTTCAAACTGTTAAGTTGGCAGGAGCTGGGACAAGTGACAGGAGCTCACTCTCTTGCGTGGATTCGATCTTATGACTGCTGGTCTTCTGACCGTGCAGCACAGAGGCTTCTGTGGTTTAACCTGCAGCGCCACCTTTTGAGTTACATGAGTCCAATTTTCATAGTGGAGTTGAGAACAAAGGATGTAAATGTTAGAGATGTGAGAATCTACCAAAACTCAGGTTTCTTGAAATTCTGTGATTTCCCCATTGAACCATGTTACAACACACTTCTATCTTGGATTGTGTTTCCATGCCAGCACAAATATTCAAAGTCTATTAATCTTAAGTGCACATTTTGTAAGATAGATGACAAATTGATGTGCTTACGTATTTTCCATGTACATTGCGTATATGTACAGTATTTTGCTGTCGCTCAATTAACATTGCAAACTTGGAAAGTTGGATTTTCAATTATACTTTTCAGTTCTTTTCCAAGATTAGTGGATGCATTGTGGGCAGAAATTAGCTGATATGAATTTCTCACACATTCTTACTGAAATTGCTCCTTATTGAGGTCCAGAGCTGCTGGCCTATTTTTGTAGTGTTTTTCATTAAGCAAAAATGTTTGTGTGTGGGTGTGTAATGGTGATTATTTTCTATAGGCAAAGGAGAGTAGTGCTTAAGAGAGAGAGAAAAGAAGGCAAACAGGCAGGAAGAGATGTACAAGCTAATGAGAAAGTGTGTCTACGACAATTCTATCTTTGCCCCCTGAAGTCTCATGGAACAATGAATGGAGAACCTCTGGTGCTGCCAGAGCACCCTCTGAGGGAAGGCACAAGCTCCTCTGTTTGGAAACTTGTACTATTGATTCTTGAGGAAAAACTGTTTTCAGCTAAAACAAGATGTGGGACTCCTAATCTTGTTTTAAATGAGAAATGCACTTTCCAGAAGAACAATTCTCACACTTCTAGGGGAAAATGCTTTGACTAGAATTACTGAGTTGAGGCCTATGGAGGCTGCAGAAATCGCTTTGAAAGAGACTTGCAAGGTCTTCTCCATCTGAATCAAATTTAAAAAGCTGGTGTTTATTGCTGGAAGGAAAGGGCCACAGTACATTGATTACTAGTACAAGTTTATTTATATGGAAATGTACTTTGTTTTTAGACCACAGTTGGGCAGCTGTTGTCTTCCAGTTGGTTTTGGCCTACTACTCCCATCAGCCCTAGCCACCAAGCCCAATGGCTATGCGTATTGCAGTCCAAAAACATTAGAAAATGGCAATAATTATAGTTCCTTAGAGAAATATTGAATTGAAGTGTAGGGATCCCAGAAAAGCATTTTAATTGCTGCTGCTTTTTCTTTTCAACTTTTAACCATCCATAAAGGAGAGTCATCGTTACAGCAGCGTTCCAGTGAAAGACATACCATAGTACTTGACTGCAGTGGTTTGACGTTCTTTGACTTCACTGGTATCTCTGTGCTTACCCAGGTGTGTACTTATGTATTATTTTATTTATTCTGTTCCTGTGCAGCTCTTTCTCTCATACAGGGCACAAGATGTGTATGATCATATGCCTGTTTTTAAATCCTCTGGACATTGCTCGGGAGAAACTGATATTGGCTTTATCCCCACAAAGACTTTCAAAGAGAATGAACAGGAGCCAATGGTGCTAATCCACTGATGGAGAAGTTGTTTTATCAACAGAATCAGGAGATTGTTTTTCTTTTCTTGTACCCTCAATGTAACTTGTTCCTTCTCCTTCTGTCCTCTGCATTACGAACTTTCTACTTTGGAAGATTTCCCAGCTTTTCTTAGGAGATATAGGAGTGTCTGAACCAGCTGCACAGAGCTACTGCTCTCAATGCATGATGGTCCTTAAGGGCAAATGATTTCATGCTCAGGATACCTGAAGAAAAAACAAAAACTTTACAAAAAATAAAACATCTATTTGATTTGTCCCCTGCAGTTTACCTTTAAATATGATACCAGTGAGGACCTATCCTTATTTTTCTTATCCTTGAGAACAAAAATGAGGGGCAATGAAGTTATTCTCTTTCATCTGCTGAGAGGGCAAAGTATTTGGTAGCACTTTGTAGAAGAGAAGAAAAAAACCACTTTATCACATAAATGAAAGGACAATGCATAATGCTTACTGGGGGATTTAGGGACTTAAAGTAAGTTCCCTAAGCTTAGAGCGATTTACATGGAACAGGCACAAAATGTTTTAGAGCAAGTTCATACTTGCTCTAAAGAACATCAAGCTATGGTTCCCATTTATGCAATAGCTTTCCTAGGTCAAACACCACCAATAGTACTCATTACTCATGCACCATTTTTTGTAGCTTCATACATGGTTTTTTTTTATTGGGAGACTTCTTCATGAAGCTGTTAGCCATTGTGTGAAACAAATTCACTTAGGTGTATATCGGTGTCTGCTCTCAAGCTGGATAGTACGTATTTTTAGAATTTTTCTTTTTGTGGTCATTTCCTAGTTGTCTTTACTTTTTTCCCCTGTGACATAGGGGTATAGAGAATTTAATTTGGTCCACAGTTGAAAATGAACTGTCTAGTTAGTAGATGCAAATACTGATCAGAACTCCATTATTTTTCAGATTTTGCATTTTTATCCATTGTGTTCTTAGTTTTTAAAAAAACCTTCCCAAAAGGTATATAAAATTTGAATATTTTAGGATAAAATATGTTTAAAAATGCATAGTTTGAGATAATATATATTTAGATATGCATATTTGGTAATAAATATATTTAAAAAGTACAACATTTGTATAGTCTTTTAAAAATCACAGATTCATGTGGCAATTGAACAGAAGGGACTCAAAGCTGACTTCAGACAGAAATAGATCAAAATGTCCATTATTCCTAAGCAATTTCTTCTCCAGTTTATTTTTTCTTTTGACCAAGTACAGCTTGTTTCTCTTTTCCCCCCACTTCTTTCTCCCTCTCCCCCTTTTTTCCCCATAAAATGACCTATCTTAAGGTTTTTGGCAGCTTTCCTTTGTTATGATTGGATGGCTTAGCTATTGGAAGAATTATGGAATAGTGAAAGAACCATTCAAATCTCATGAGTCAGGCATGCAAGTATTATTACTCTAGAAGTGGATGAGGTTGAGAGAGAGAGAGAGAGAGAAAGGAAAGAAGTCAAACAGTCAGACCAGTCACAGAATAGCTCTAGTCTACATTTTTACAGTGCTTTTCTGTAGACATTTATAGTCATGGCAATTATTTGCCAGGTAGAAACTGGCAGAATTTGTCCTGCAGTCATGCTTGGCAACTTCTCAGGATAGCTTTGAGAGTGGCAAAAGAAGATGTGTAGGCGTTGTTATATATTTGTGCTGCAAATTTCCAGAGCACCTCCAAAATGGCAAACTGTGCATTCTCTACCTTCATGAGGTCTTGAGTACAGCACATAGTCACAAAATTACAGTATGTTTATTAGGACCAGATAAAGTGTAACAAGATGATCAGCAAACTTTTGAATTCTTCAGAAGGTCTGTTTAGGCTGGATGTTAAACAAAAGGTCATGATGGTGGGAATAAAGATGGGTTTGATGTTGGAGCAGGCATTATTCTGCTATGACCTTTGAATTGTGCAAACATTGATATAGCTTTTATCAGGCATTTCAACAGACATGACAGAAATTGCACAAGGAGGAAAGAAAGAATCAATGTTATAGTAACACCAAAGCTTGCAAGGTCATCAGAATGCAATTGGTAGGGATGTAAACGTGTACTTATCTTCTTTGTGTACATAAAAATGAAAACCACAATATTTTTTTTCACTCCACCAAGACAGGAAAATATTTCCTGTTGTTTTAGGAAAGTTTGTGCATTTGTGAGAATAATTTGTGCATAAATAATGCAAATTGGCACATACTTGATATGTAAAAACATCTAACCACAGCTGCTCAAGTTCTCCAGTTGTATGGCTGCCAAGTCTGCAGTTTTGGACCTCAGATGCAGGTTGTGAGGTCTGTTCTCCCACTCTCACCTCTCAGGGAAGAATGTGTTGCCAGTTTGGTGGCTCATTCTTACTATTTCAGGTCATGTCATTTGGGAACTCACGGAAGTACCCTTGTCCATTATCTTGTATGCTGTAGTGTTAACTTCTACCAGCATTTAAACTCATCACAGTGTCTCCATGTTGTCTGTGTCACAGACACACCATTTTGCAATGGCTGTGATGTCCCAAGGGCCTGACCCTAGATCTCAGGCAGGCCTTGGCTCTGAAATCTCCAAGCATGGGACACTGGTGACCTAGCAACCATTTAATTCTGCCAGCAGGTCCAGTGGTCATATTGCCTAGGGATCTGGGGAATTCCATTTTAAAATGGAAAATTTCAAAGCGTTAATTAAGACCCCTTCCACTCATGATGTATCAAAGTGTCTTTCAACTATTTTGTGCTACTTGTATCTACACATGTTAAGAATAGTCATCAAGTTCTTCATCCTCATCAATTTTCAAGGTCCAACAAGATTCCTTGCCCTCAGTTGAGAGTGAGAACTGGAGCCCTCCCTTTTTTTTTGTAACGATCTCCATTACTTGTGTAGATTGTCTCTGCCCAAAAGTAATGCCCCAGCAAAGCACATACACGTAAAGAAGTTAGAGAACAACCAGCTAATTGTTACACACACTTTTAAATTTAGAAGCACTGGAAGGGGTATTTGTCTCTATCTTTTTTAATGAAGTACCACACATGATCATTTTGTGCAATTTGTATTATATGCACAATTTGTGAGTTGTAACTTTAAAGTTTAGAAGCACTGGAAGGGGTATTTGCCTCTATCAGGGAGGTGTCACATGGTGGTGGGCAAGCCCTGGGAGACCTCCCTGGGGGTCCCCGCCATCGTGATCGGCGGCTTCGGAGCTCTCAAAGGGCTTTCCCCTGACATTGGAGGAAGCCGTTTGAGACCTCCGAAGCCAAAAAGGCAGGGAGAAAGGGTGGGAAATTGGAATTTCCAGGCCTTCCCCCCTGATTTTTTGCCTTTTGAAATGCTGGAACAGATTAATTCCATTCCCATGCATTTCAATGGGAAATGGTACTTCGACTTACGAACTTTTTGACGTACGAACGTCGTTCCAATACGGATTAAGTTCATAAGTCGAGGTACCACTGTAGATGTGAACCTTAAGAAGAGCCCCACCTGGATTAGACCAACGTGAATTGAATATGAATGTTCACATTCAAATGGTGGAGCAACCCCAGATGTTCCTGGAGGAGGAAAACTGCCTTAATGTGTTTCAATCCGGATTCGGGCCCTGCAATGGCCCCAAGACAGTTCAGGTCACACTGTGGTATGACCTTTTGCAGAAGGCTGATAGGGGAGCTCATTCTCTGTTGGTTCTCCTGAATCTCTCAGTGGCTCTTAATGTGCCATCTGGGCTTATGCCAGTTCTCTGGCAGAGTGGTTTATGTTATGTTTGATGTTTTACTCATTTGGCTGCTTTTATGTAAACCTCCCAGAATAGTGCTGTGCACTTATGGGGCAGTATATAAGTACTATAAGTGAGTGAGTGAACGAACGAATAAACCTACAAACAAACAAACAAACAAATTTTAACATTTTCATTCCACATCACAAAAGGATTTTAAGTTTTAGACAATGTTTATATTATGGAGTAGTTCCCTCTGACGGCCTCTTGCAATGCAGAGTGTCTATTTTCCCCCTAAATATTTCTTTCAGTACATATTAGTATGAAACTAAGAATGATCTCTCACTAGAGGTGGCAAGGGTTGAGGATGATGCTCTGTACTCATTTATATGTGTTAATGAACATAAAACTATTTTTAAAAAATCTCACAAGACTACCAACCAGCAAAATTTAGTTACTGAGTGAAGCGAAGCAAAGTGTGCTGCTCATATATTGCCTCCTAGTGCTTAAAGCACTCTTTGGGGAGTTTACAATTATGCAGGCTACACATTGTCCCTCCCCAATTGAGCTGGGCACTAATTTTACTGACCTTGGAAGGATAGAAGGCTGAGTGAACCTTGAACCTTGAACCAGCTACCTGGGATTGAAGCCTGGGTCATGAGTACAGTTTTGGCTGCACTACAATAGTTTAACTAGAGGATAGGGGAGTAATATTTAAAATCTGAAATACTTCAAACTTTTTATGAAGCTCTTTTATATATTTTTGTGCTCTTTTAGATTTACATGGACTCCAAAAAAAGGAATATTGATATTGTCCTGGCAAACTGCAAAGGCAAGTATCAGTTTTTGGTAAGAACAGATTTCAAAAAATCAGGTTTTTTGTGCCATGCTCCCTTTTCTAAAATGCCATCTTCCTGTTTTATTACAGCTTCTCTTATAAAGGCACTGAAGCACAGCAGAAGGCTAGAATCTGACAGTGGTGTCTTCTTTGAGTCGGTTTCTTCAGCTGTGGATGCTATTCAGTTTAACAGGGTGAGCCTCAGTTTGTGAGATCAGAAGTTGGGAGAGTAGCGGGGAGAGATGGAGACCTATGATCCAGAACTGTGCGACTACAGTCACCCAGAATATACCAGGCCTGGGAGATAAGCAGGATTGGGCCTGGTTAATAATTGGATGAGGGACTACTAGGGAATAACAGAGATCTCCAAGTAGGCCAAGGAAAGAATACCTGAAACAGTAGAGAGCTGCTGTCTATCAGATTTGACAGAACTGGGCTAGATGGACCAAGAGTCTGACTTACGTAGTACATAAGGCAGCTTGCTATGTTCCTCTGCTTTTCTATGTAGCAAAAGCCCTCATCCCAAAGTGCCCAGTCAGGTACTGCAGGACAATTTGCAGGCAGAATTAGATGGCAAAGCTACTGCAAGAGATTGTATTGCCTGAGGCAAAAAAAAAAACAAAAAACAAATATCACGTAGAATGGCAGCTGAATCTGTCTTCAGCACTAGTTATTGGACAGTGTCCTCCCCTGTACAGTGGTGCCCTGCATAGCGAGGTTAATCCATTCCGAATTAACCGTCGCTATGGGGAAACATCGCTATACGGAACGGAAAACGCCATAGAAATGCATTAAGCTTAGTTTAATGCGTTCCTATGGCTCTTAAACTCACCGTTCTGTGAAGTTTCTCCATAGCGCCGCCATTTTCGCGCCCTCGGTAAGCGAGGGCAGGGCGTGGAAATGGTGCGGGCGGCCATTTTCTGCACCCGGTGGCCATTTTGGAACCGCCGATCAGCTGTTCCCAAAATGGCCACCGGGTGCAGAAATGATCGCAATGCGATGTTTAGCCTATCTAAACATCGCAATGCGATCGCATTAGCGACCCCAAAAAATGGGTTGCTATGCAGATTCTTCGTTAAACGGTGCGCTCGTTAAGCGAGGCACCACTGTACGTGAAAGCAGCAGACTAACTTAGGGGGCATGGGGAAGGCACCATGGCAGAAAGCCCTCATAGGAGAATGCTGTTCCTACTGCTTCCCAATGTCATCTGTGTGAGCTGAACATCTTACTCCGCTTGCCATGTTTAATATTAACACCAATAACTTATCATTCAATATTCCAGTACCCATTTTGGGGGGAAACTTGTTCTTGTGGTGTGTGGGGTGGGGAGCCTGGAACAGAGATTTTAGAGAGACCTTTGGGTAGTGTGGGCAGCATATAAATTAAATAAATAATAATAAATAATAATAATAAGGACAGCTCAAGAAAAATCACCCATTTCAGGAGACAAATGAAACAACGTGCTTGACAGCTTGATGGCACAGAACACTTCATATATCTTTTCAGGCTTCTCTAGGCTAAGCCAGGTTGATAACCTGGAAAGGCTGCCTGAAAGAATATAGCCACAGTCTTTAGTTTTGTGTTTGGACTGTGGTTCCTCTAGTTCAATGGTTCCCAAACTTGGGTAACTCAGGTGTTGTTGGACTGCGATTCCCAGAAGCCTTCATCACCAGCTGTATTGGCTGGTGTTTCTGGAAGTCACAGTCCTAGAACATCTGGGTTACCCAAGGCTGGGAATCACTGCCCATAGAAGGTTGATGATTTAATGTATTACTCCCATCCAGTCATAAGTGAACTAGTTGCTGTCACCAGCTCAGAAACTGCTTTTCATGGGCCTTTTTGAAAATATGAAACTCAAAACAGGGCCTAGAATGTGGGGATAGATTGTGGCTGGTTGCATCTGTATCTGTCTCCTCTACTGCAAAGGGACAAATGGGTTTTGTCATGCTGACTGCTTGGAAATTGCTGGTCTGGACGGTTTTGCATAATGCTGGTTTCCTGCCTTTAATGTGTACTGGAATGTGCTTCCTGAGAATGTTTTGTAGCTTGTTACATCATTCCCCTCTCATCTGATGCAAGACATGAACATCACTGTTCCAGACTATTTTGTGCAATATGGATCTTCTGAATGGAACAGGTACTGAGAGGTGGTCCCTGGGCCGGTTTTGTGGCCTGCTGCATCAATCAATTCTAGCTGGACGAAATGGGTGAATTTTGTTGGCCTACTTTGAAATCACCACTCCACATTGTTTCCTGTAATATCAGTTTTCTGCCCAGAATGGGTACTGGAATGTTGTTCCTGGGGATGATGTGTGGCTTGCTGCATCTATCTCATCTAATCACAAATGTGGCATGAATTTGGTTGTGTTATCCTACTTGGAAGTTGCTGCTCTGGGCCATTTTGTTCCATTCTGGTGTGGTTTGGGGCAATAAATAACGAAAGAGTAATTTAATTGGGTTTGGCATCTAAAATACTGTTGTGATGTTTGCCCGTCACATTCCACCATTTTTGACATCAATTTTTATTTTCATAAACTCTGTTCTGCCCATTCCATTCTGAGCTTTTACCTAATACCTGTAGTCCCTTCTCTCTGTAGATTAGCAGCAAAAGAAACCTACGCATGGCATCTGGATTTGTCGTTAGTTTGAAACCCTCGTGGCCACCCACTATGGTGTAAGCACTAGCTTTCATCTACACTATTTCTGATTGCCATTTGTTAATGGCTACATACACCTGCTGACTGGGAAAGCTAACCCCACCTAAGTGCCATGCATAGGGCTCCAGGATTGTTTAAGTTGGAACCAATTTCATTATATAAACTCTGTTCCCACATTCCTAGTTTCTTAAGGCTATAACTTGCCTTATAATGTAAATTCCTCTAAGCCTCTTCACTCTAGCTGTTATTAAACCAAATGTTCAAGCAGTGCATGGAGTGTTGGCTTCCATTGTCTTACACATGACTGCAAAGTTGGCTGAGATCCATGACAGAATCCCCTCCAAGGCAGATTAAACTTAAACTAGTCAGTGTGTTGTTTCCTGTTTCTGTTGCCTCCCACTCCATTACAGTGAACAGGCATATTCTGGTAATTAAATTAGAAAATCTTCTTCCTCTTTTTCCGCCAAAATTGCTTTAATCTGATTGATTGAACTAAACCAAACTGGTGGTATTAGTTTAACAGGATTGAAGAAAGGAGGAAATGCAGCTACCATGTTTGCCCGAAAATAAGACAGGGTCTTATATCAATTTTTGCTCCAAAAAAACCCATTAGAACTTATTTTCTGGGGATGTTTTATTTTTTTCATGTACAACAATCTACATTTATTTATTCACATACAGTCACGTCATCTTCTTCTGGTTGCTGCACAAGGGTGGAGGGCAGGGTTTCACTTAACTGGGGCTTATTTGGGGGGTAGGGCTTATATTATGAGCATCCTGTAAAATCATACTAGGGCTTATTTTCAGGTTAGGTCTTATTTTCAGAGAAACAGGATAATTGAAACTTATGTTCTGCTTGGCTTTAGTTTCCTTTACATGCTTACCATCCAAACCAAGGGGATTTTATTTTTCAGTATTTGTAAACTCTATATGGTACGAAGGAATCACCCATACGCTGGTTCCCACAATCAGGCTACAAGGTGTAAATTCGAGCTTAGAAGTTACATATAACAAGTTACTTGTAATTCCATTTTGCTTAGCAAAGGCATAATCAGATTCCAAAGCAATTGTAACATAATCAGGGATAACTTCAGTTCCTTAGATAGGTTAGTCTGTACAGTTTTTTGACCTAGTAAGACTAGTCTTGCTAAGGATTTTAGTGTTTCTGTTTTACTGTGATTACCATTACAGCAGGATGCATGTCTGATGGTTTAGGATCAAGAAATTATTGTTTGTGTTCAAAGTCAAGTGTATAGTTTTCTGATGACTTCTATGCTAGTGCAATTATTCTGAGAATGATACTCCTGATTATAAAGCTCTCAGATAAAAATGTTCTTTTTCTCCCATTTTAGAATTTCTGCAAGCTTAATGAACACACTGAAGTCTGATGCTAGCCTGATACATAAACATATATATTGGTCGAGCTGCTCACCTAAAAAAAAAGGAACTATACCAAAGTATTTCTACAGCAGTTTAAAACTGGGATTTTGTTGGCGATCATTTGTATGCTGAATGTGTTCAACAATACCAGCAGCAACAGTGTTTATTTTTATTATTCCTGAAGATTCCTCTCTGACTTCCCATCAATGAGAGATATTTTTAAAGCAGCCTGGATTGTTCTTTGGTGTTTTCATATTTTTGTAAGCATTTAAATTCAAAAAAGGAAAAGAAAATAGAAAGCAATTTGAAATATTACAGTAATCTATATTGTTTAGCTCTGTTTTATTATGACTTACTTGTATCATTTTATGCACAGGTGAATACCACACTGTTAAAAAAATTTGGATAGTATCTGATCCAAGATCTGTAGCTTGTTACACACAAACACAAGCTGTGATAGAAGACCAATTAGTTTTTATTAAATACCCAATATATGCATTAGAGCAATCATACCATGTACCTTTCACATTCTGTCAAAGCTCCTGAGAACATGGCTCATATTGAATACTGTCTGCATGCTTCACTATCTTATTTATCTTCTCATGAGTTTAGAAAGTTGTTTCCCCAAAGGGCCAGCGTTGTCTGCTGCCACCAGGCCCTTTGTTTGCCACAGGATGTAGCATTTACTGCTAAAAATTCTAAAAATTGGCTTATTCCACCGTTTAAGCATGGGGACCCAGATGCTTTTGGAATACCTTTCCAAGAAGACCAGGCCATAGAGCTGTGCTAGCTAGGGCTTCTGGGAGCTAGAGTTTAAAAACATCGGGGTCCCTGCATTTGGGAACCACTAACCTTTATAGAGAGCTATGGAGGCAGAGATACAGCTCCATTAAATTTGTCAGAATGGCACTTATGCACAGTTTTTCAGAGATGCTTGAAATACCATTTAAAAGGGACAGTATTCATATAGGGATGCATCTGAATAAGAAAAGTTGTAAAGTTTGTGTGCGGCTACTGAGTTAAGTGTTCAGGTTTAGTTTGCATAAAAAGGAGAAAGTTCAGATGGAATGTTAAACCACGAGCCAGTACTTTTAACACTGTTTTTCTTTCCCTGCCACCAACAAGGGAGAATAAAATTGCCATTGTTTGTAACAGTCCTTCATTGTTTTGCACATCTCCAGTATGAGTACAGCTCTTCTAAACTAGAGTCAGTTCAACTATGTTTTTCATTATTTAAACGTCTGATACAGCAGTATGAAAATGCCAGTTTTTTAAAGTAGATCATACAGTTCCCATGTGAAATAGGGATTTATTTAACCTGCCTGCCTATAGACAAGCCAAACAATTAGTATCCTTGAGACAATAGACAATTAGTATCCTTGAGCAAAGCAAGAAGGATACTAATGATTTTTAAAAATTTTTTAAAATGCAAGCATGCTAACATCTGGCAAGTTTGATTTACTTTAATAAATATATATGAAGAAAAATTGCTGGCATGTTGAACAGTAGTGATATATGATTAGTGGAGATGTACTCTGCATGGAGGCAGTGTCAGATTTTACTTTCTTGGGCCCGATGATCACTGCAGATGGGGACAGCAGCCATGAAATTAAAAGATGCCTGCTTCTTGGGAAGAAAGTGATAACAAATCTAGACAGCATCTTAAAAAGCAGATACATCACCTTGCCAACAAAGGTCTGCATAGTCAAAGCCATGTTTTTCCATTAGCGATGTATGGAAGTGAGAGTTGGACCATAAAGAAGGCTGACCTCCAAAGAATTGATGCTTTTGAATTGTGGTGCTGGAGGAGACGCTTGAGAGTCCTCTGGACTGCAAGGAGAACAAACCTATCAATTCTGATGGAAATCAACCCTGGGTGTTCACTGGAAGGACAGATCCTGAAGCTGAGGCTCCAATACTTTGGCCATCTCATGAGAAGAGAAGACTTCCTGGAAAAGACCCTGATGTTGGGAAAGTGCAAGAGAAGAAGGGGATGACAAAAGAGGAGATGGTTGGACAGTGTCATCGAAGTTACCAACATGAATTTACCCAACTCCAGGAGGCAGTGGAAGACAGGAGGGCGTGGCGTGCTCAGGTCCATGGGGTCATGAAGAGTCGGATATGACTTAACAACTAAACAACAACAACAACGCTCTGCATTGTATTGATACAGAACATTTGGAATGATACATTGGGCATAATCTGTCGTTCCATTTTAGTGAAATTCTACTTCATGCCAGTGAAATTCTATTTCAGCTTTTCTGCAAATGACATTAGACGTTTGGGACACATACCTTGAAAAGTGGATCTGCAGTTTTTCTAGACCTGATTCAAATCATTTCAATGCACTTCGTGTGTAAATCATGTTCCCATCTCAAAAGCACATAATATTATAGCTCTGAATACTTGTTGCATATCATATATCTTCACTTACTTAACTTAGTATCATCTGTATTCAGTAGCTCTATAAAGAAACAGATGTCCAAATCATTGTTTGTCTCAGTTTTGAACCATTATTGGCATTATCAATGAATGGGAATAGGTACCATTGTTACCACTATACCTTATTTTTCCTTTTACTGTATAAGACAACCCAATGTATAAAACGATCCCCCCTTTTCTAACCCCCAAATTAGAAAATTTGAAAATTTGCACGATCGCAGCCCTTTGATCCTGAAGCCCTTTCATGGCTGCTTCAGAATCAAAGGGGTCCAAGTGTGCCACCCTTTCACGGCTGCTTTACCCTGTGGCTTTGCAAAAGGCAGGGAAAGCCGCTGCCTTCCGTGTATAAAACAACCCTCAATTTTTTGTCTAATTATTTACATAAAAAGTGTCATTTTATACATGGGGGGAGGAGAAACCCTTGTGCTTTGTCATAAAATACAGTGGATTTTGTGTAAAAATATATCCTGGAACTTTTTGCCAAGGAAATTCCCAAAATGAGAAAAACGTGAAAAACATTTACTCCCAACAGGAAGAAAACATTTTAAATTTGTCATTCTTACCAGAGAGAAGAAAACATCTTGGGGAGCAGTCAACCGGGATTCTGGGTTTAATCTGCTTGCAGAAACAGAGAAGTGAAGCAAATGGACCCCTATTAGAAAGCAAAGCATTGTAAGCTTGGAGAAGCTAGAACTCCTGATTTATAAATTATGCGCAAACACGGCTATTGTGTGCACAAATGGCTTATTAGACAACAGATGGACAATGGGTACTTTCCTGCCAGTACACAAGTTTTGTTTTGGGAGTGAATATTCCTAGCACTTTTATCAAAGTGTGGCATGCATGCAAAATCTATTGTTACTACACACACCCCAAAAATTGAATTAATTGCCTCCATAGCAAGCTTTCTACTCATTATGGGCTTTTTAAAATGGAACAATGCATAGAAATTGTAAATGAATGGCAATCCTGTACGGAAGTCACATGATTCATCAACATCTTGGTTTGATTATTCTAAAATGTGCAGCCCTGCCATTTTCTACTGCTATTGCTTATTGTGGTTATGATTTGTTTATTTGCAAAGAAGGCAGGGGATCCATGTTCTGCCGAAAGAGCTCCAAGCAATCACACTTAAATAATTGCCTCCATGTTATGTTGGACTGTGCTGGTTGTTTACAATGATGCTTGCAGAACACTGTGTTGATGCTATAAATTTTCTAGGCCTAGGAAAATTGGTTTGGAGGAGTTTGTTAAATTGTAGATCCCTATAAGCTTTGTACAAAGGAAGAAAACCTGTTGGATCTCAATCTGTTATAGTTTGGGTATTTCTTTCCTTTTTAATTCTTAGAGAGGGGAGATGGGTTAGGTTGGAGTAGATATGAAAGGAACATAGCTCGCAAAGAGAAGAAGGCAGGAATCAAACTGTTCCCTGCAGGGCTGAGTTAAGATATGGTGAAATCAAACTTCCAAGTTTAAGACACTCCATAACATGCAGAAGTGTGTATTAGTTTAACAACCATTCAGAACTTGAAATTTCCTCCCCTCACCCACACACTGTTTAGAGCCCCTCCCCACAAAATAGGCCCTAAACTGTAAACTTGAGATGAATCCAGTATCAGCTGATTTTGACACAAGAGCATCCCTAAGAATTTGGCAGAGGGAAATGCTTGATAAAAAGCTGCATAGTGACATGTTATTATAATTCACATGCATCGTACCTGTCGTGGCAACACCTTACATCTGTGTAGATTGAGTTGGGCATCATGGGCCATGCGAAGCAGCCTGGCGCTCCCAAGTGAAAAAGAAATTTAAAAAATTGTTCAGCTTCCGAAAGGTTATTTCTGCTCTTGGGGTGCTCTTAGGCATAACAAGGTTTCATAACTGTTTTTAGAGTTCATCCACACTGTCGTATTGTTCACTGTTGTTCTCGGACAGCTCTGGATTCTGAGTTCTTTTCTTTTCCAGATCTGAATAGATCATCCTGGTATTAGCGTCACTGCAAGTCTAATTTTATTTTTGATTCTTCCTTTTCTGCTATAAAGTGATAACATTTTTTAAAAAGAACAGATGAATAGATGATAACTTCTCTGTTGTTCCCCCACTTATTTCACTCTCTCCTCCTCTCCCTCCTTGTTTTACCCTCCCACTATCCTTTTCACCTCAATACTTCTATTTTTTTTAAAAAAAACTGCTTAGTTTTCACTGTTGTGTATCATGCAGAAGTGATACTACAACTGAGAGCTTTTTGTGCCTTTCCCCCACCTAGTATACTTTCTAATCCCTTCACTCCTTGTCTTTACCTATGCACCGTTTTCAAGCGCTCACTTCATTTTTAATTATTTTTCATTTTTCTGCTATGGTGCAAGAGTGCTAAGTTTTTTTTTTTTTAAAGCAGACTACAGGAGCAGCTGTTATCCCAGAAAAATCACACAGGAGAACGAGGCAGCAGGCATGGAGGGATGGAGATTGACCAGCAGAAAAATGCTCATAAGTAAACATCAATAAGTGATTCACACCTGCAAAGTGTATGGATCAGCACACATGAACATGATGAGCAAACTAGAATGAAGCTGAACAAAAATACATCACCACAATGTAGTGGTGTAATAAAACCCAGAAAAGGTGGGGTCAGGAAGCTTGTCCTGTTTCGACTCTGTTGGGCCCAATTTCAGCTGTAGGAACACCACGATCTGGTACTGGTATCATGGGTTCAAGGAAAGTTGAAAGAATGTTTAGGCCCTTTGTTTGCCACAGGATATTATGCAGCTGATAGGATGTATACTGAATTTCACAGAGATCAGTTCTCTTACTTTAAGCATCTTCATAAGCTTTTAAAAATTTGTTTTACAGATTTCTGTTGTTCTTGTGTGATGTGCTATGCCTTTTTATTTAATATTTTGTATTTGATATTTAAAGAAGTACACATCCCTTTTCTCCAAGTGGGCAAAAAGCATCTTGGGAGGATGGTAGGTCGAAGCGTTGATGGTGGGGGAGATAGCTAATCTCTCCCCACTGCCTTCCTTTGCCAAATGGTAGAGCTGGCTCTGTGGAAATTGGTTCAAATTGCTTCATAGCACTCTGGAACAGGGCTGCATAGCAGAGAAGGGGCATTATGACAAGGTTCAGGAAGGTACAAGAGGCTGCAGTTCTTTTAACCAATGTATATTAGAGCTGCATGGGCGAAAATACCGTCCCATTAAGTTG